TCTCAAAAATTTTAAATGAAAAAATCAATACTTGAAATGAACAGACTTAAATTCATTTTTTATTTTCTATCATAAATTAGTATTCAGGAAATACTTAAAAGAAGTATTAGAAGTCTAGTTTAATCATTCTCATTTTCAAGAGTATAGAAACAGTAAAGAAAATAGAGCATTTGTGCAACATTACCACTAAGCTTATCAGATCTGCACCCAAATATTTAGGTTCAGCCCTTTAACCCCACACACCAAAGAAAGTAAAGATAATGATTTGTTCAAAAGTTCTAAGTGTCCCTACCTATGAGAATAAGCATTTGAATAAGAGAAACAAAAGGAAAGCAAAGAAAAAAATTTAAAAGAGGAAACAAAAAAGATAAGTTAAAAATAAAAAAGACCAATCTTCTCTCAGAGAGCATGGTCCATCCACATTAGAGAAAGGATTAAGCAGATACATTCAGCTTTTCTAACAGATTTTCTTTCTCTAAGACTTCAATACCCCTCTCACACTCACTCAGATAATCACATTAGTTTTGTCATTAAAAGCTCCCTTTTCATAGAATGCACCTAAACCGCTTAAACCACCCAGAGAGGTCGCATACATTATCAAACACCAAAACAAACGGAAGAGATTTTTCATCTTATGTCTTATTATTTCACTGTATTTATCTGCATGCTCAGCAGGTCCAGCTCAAATATTTGATATGTTATCAGCTAAAAACTGATTCCAACATTAGCAAACTACAGTAACGAACTTTTTAAGCTGAGAAGAGACCTAGTCGTATTTATGCTGACAGAACAGTCAAATGACAGAGGGGCTTTCTATTTTACTTTTCTCTTCTTCCTTGTGTTCTACTAGCCAAGTCCATGATTATTTCTGCATGAATGTTGCAGCTTCTGTTAAGAGTAAACAAAAGCAAAGAGAGTCTGAGTGTGCAAAGCTCAGAGACAAATTAAAAAGGATACTTGAATTGACACAAGAAATGGCATTTAGTTGCAGCCCATGGAGTCTGTAGAACTGTACAAAGTCCAGACAGAATTGGAATCACCTGCTTTTTTTTTTTCCATAACCCAACTGTTACACATTATCCCAGCATCCCAAGCCTAAGTTACAGACTCAGAAAAGGACGGCTGTTTGTCAGCCCTTTAAAAAGGAGGAAGTGTATCAGAGGGAGGAGGAGTTCTGCTTAAAAGGAACTATCCAAGTGAAAGAGCAGTCCCCAGCTGGGTAGTGTTCCAAGGATTAGTGGGCTGGGAGAACAGAGAGGAGGTCAAGGAAGGAGAAACAGAGTGAACAGTGAAAGAAAGCGATCCAAAGCTCCAAGTTTGGGAGGGAGATGTGTAGTAGAAAAATTCTGAAAATCAGATGCGTAACTAACTATAGAATGAAACTGGAAACAGAGACAATGGAATGTTCTCCAGCAAGAAATAACAGAGGTTGTTTGTGTAATGGAGTGCAGGCAGGAAACAGAATCATATATGTAAGTAATCAAGAATTCCTTAACACTTCAAGGGAAAGAATAACATTGGTAAAAAGTAACTGAGGAGAATGATAAGAACTAACTATGAATTAAAAAAAAAACACAACAACAAAGTAGTTTGCCCTAAAAATAAGCTTTTATAATGTGTATATACAAAAGATTAAAGAAGGACTGTGGTCAATCAAAAACAGATGGCAAAATATTTGAAGCATACTCCACTGGTTTCAAATAATTATATACGACAGCAAAGGATAAAATACTTATATTTAAGACTCAACAGGAACATCAAAGTATCTCAATGGAACATTAAAGAAGTAAGGTAAAAACAAAGTTAGATTGCTCACTGTTAAAAGTGATGATAAACCAACGTTTTTTTTTAAGAGAGCGAGCTTTTTATTATAAGGTGCATGTACTCTCCAGAGAGATAGAAAGAAAGCAAGAAATCATCCCCCTGGGGAGGATGGCCATGCTGCACATGCCCAGTGTTTTAGGCTGCCGGGTCCAGGACTTGAACCGTAGTCAACTACATGGGAGTCCAGCAATGTAACCATCTGCTGTTCCCCCAATAACACTTTTAAACAGCTGTCTTCCTCTGACACTCTCTAGATCAGAGGTCAGCATACTATAATAGCCAGGCCAAATCCATCCCACAGCCTGTTTTATAAAGTATTACTGCACATGGCTATTCTCTTTCATTTAGTATTATCTATGGGTACTTCTGTGCAATAGTTGCAGAGCTGAAGAACTGACAGAAATCATATGGTCCATAAAGACTTAAATATAGCTCTTCATGGACAGAGTTTGCGATTCCCTGTTCTAAATAACAGAATTTATTCTCTGTATGTTTTTATCATCTGATAACTCATTTGTTCTTCAAATGGAGAAAGAAATGCAAATGTAATTCCCACTCTTAACACAGATTAAGGACAGAATTAAACCTGATAGTGTTCATACTGTGAACAGCAATCTACTATCTTCAGTCAAGTCTCTTCTTTCTTTTCTTTTTCTTTTTTTTTTTTTTGAGAGGTTTTTGCTATAGGGTGTGTGCGCTCACTAGAAAGACAGAGACAGAAAGTGAGAAATCACCCTCCAGGGAGGATGACCATGCTGCAATCCCTTCTCCATTTTCACTCAGGATCTTGGGCATGCATATACACACGCCTGGCATGAGTTGAAGCCAACAGGTCGGGGACTTGAACCACAGTCAACTACATGAGAGTCCAGTGACGTAGCCATCACGCCATCTGCTGGTCCCTGGTCAAGTCTCTTTCTAATGCAAGACAATGGGATAGAAGATCATAGACTCTGAATTATGGCAGACCCAAATTCAAATCCTACTCCATCCTCTTGTGGTTGAGGTTTAATTTCTCCTCCATAAATCTGGGACTCTACTTTTTCCCACAGTATTTTTGTGAGGATTAAATGAGACAGTATATATGAAAGTGCTTTGTAAATAGTAAAATAATATGGAAGGATAAGGCATTATTACCACATATACATTTATAGAGACTAATTTAGACTTTGCCCCATTATATTGATCCAGGGTTTCTTAACACAAGCAAGATCTGCTCTTTTTAATAAATTTGAGTTGTCAAAATTAAATTTGATTCAATATACATTTACTTCCAACCTGCTATGTGCAAGATTCACTGGTCATTCTACTGTTTACATAAAGAAAAATTACTTTAATAGCAAATGGCCTTGTTCCATTTTGGTTACAAGGATTTTTTTTGTATGTTTGTTTAGAGATCTTTGCTATGGAGCACATGTGCTTGCCGGAGAAAGAGAAACAGAAAGTGAGAAATGAGAAATCCCCCCTCCCCCTCCCCCGGGGATGGCTATGCCATAATCCCTTCTCCATTCTCCTCTTAGGATCTTAGGTATGCACACACACACACCTGGTGGGATTTTCAAGCCACCAGGTTCAACTACTGAACCACAGTTGGCCATGTGGGAGACCATCACCATAACCACTGTACCACCTGCTGGCCCTGTTATAAAGTTTTATCCATTTACTAGTTTAAAGGAACAGTTAAAAGTGCTTTTGAAACCTGACTATCATATCACTAATTCTGTTTTTATTTCTAGTACCGATTCTAGCTGTAGAACCAGTTATATCCTCTGAATTTAACTATCAATTGGCCAGTCTCTGTTTTTAAAACTAAGAAGAATGTTCTCTACAATTATTATTATTATTATTAGTTCTCTACAATTATTATTATTATTATTATTTTGCTTATTGCCAGAAGAGGCAGAAAGAACCCTCCCAATGAGGTGTGGTCACATCACAATCCTTTTTCCTTCATTTCTCAGTCCCAATCAGGACTTAGGGCACACATGCACATGGGCCTGGCATATTTTCAAGAAGTGCGACCAGAATTCAGACAATGACTGGCCATGTGGGATCTGGCTCCCTGTGCACACAGCTTAACCACTGTGCAACAGGGCTGGCCCTACAAAATAATTTTTTTTTTCTTTTATTTTGGAGAGGTTTTTGCTATAGGGCACGTGCACTCGCCAGAAAGACAGAGAGACAGAGAGACAGAAAGCGAGAAATCACCCCTGAGGGCGGATGGCCATGCCGCAATCCCTTCTCCTTCATTCTCCTCTCAGGATCTTGGACATGCATGCACACAGGGCCGGCATGAATTTAAGCCACCGGGTCCGGGACTCGAATCGCAGTCGACTACATGGGAGTCCAGCAACATAGGCATTATGCTAACTGCTGGTCCCCAAAAGAATTCTTAAAAAGAACATACATAATAAATAATTTTGACAAGGGGAAAAAAAAAAACAACCTTAAATTTTATGGTCTAATGTGTCTCTGCACTTTCCAGAGTATTTTCTCATTCGGTATCTTATTTGAGACTTGGCATAACCCTATTTGGTACGAAAGTATAATTATTCTATTCTGCAGAGAAAGACTCGGAGGCTCAGGAAAGAGGAGCACCTTGCCTAGAATCATGCAGCAGTCAGCAGCAGTTCTGGGCCAAACTCTCCCCTTCTGGACCCAAGTCAGTGCTTTTTCCACTCTGCCTTGCTGCACAGGGATCACTCCTTCACAATGTATATAGCACTTACAATACTTTAGCAGCTGAATGAATCACAGGACTGTAACAGCTGCCACTTCCTAAGCATCAGCCACATATTACATAGATCTAGACATTATACGTATATCCCAAAGATTCAGTAAGTTGTGCAAATAAACTGCACAGCCCAGGATGTGACATATAATAATTATTCTAAAAACAATAACTAATGGTCTTATTTCTAATTAATATAACTTTGCAATTGATGTATTTTATCTCTACTTTTTCAGATGAGAAAACTGAGGCTCAGAAAAATTAGGTAATATGTCCAAGTCTGCATAACCAGAAAGTAAAAGAACCCAGGAGTCCAGCCCAGATTTGACTAACTTCGGAGACTGCATGTCCCTAGAACTTGTTCTGATGCTGAAAGCCAGAGAACGTGTGCACAAAAAATGAGAAGCCTTTTATGAAAAATGATGAGAGGACATTTTTCTGTTACCTTGACAGGCCAAGCAGGCAGAGGCTGTAAAAAGTTAGATGCATAAGGGTAGTCTACCATCGCCAGGTTCACCCAGGTTTCAGAGATCCAATCTTTCAATTGTTGGATGTCCGGAGAGGTCAGTGGGCTGCACAAGTGAAGCTCTTCAGTAAGCCACCGCAAACCAGTGCCTGGGAACAGAATCATATCGTTGGAATCCAAAAAGGACTAATCAACAGAAATCTTTGTAGATCATTTATTCCTCACTTAGGATGGTAGAAAACTCAAGTCTTCTATATCACTTCTGCAAGAATGTTTTTTCAGGGGCCAGCAGGTTGCATAGTTGTTAGAGTGCTGGACTCTCACATGGTCAACCATGAGTTTGAGTCCTTGCTTTATGACCCTCTTTCTCTCTCTCTCTCTCTCTCTCTCTCTCTGGTGAATGCACATGCCCTATAGCAAATTAAATAATAATAATAATAATAAATAAAATTAAATAAGTAATTATTTTTAACAATTTGTTTTCAACATATTTCAAAATATTTTTAGAGCAACTAGATAATCCCAAAACAGACACGTTGTCTATCTTCATGGAATTTACCGAATTAGGATTCGGAATCATTCTCTCATTTTAAGATACCAGTTGAACTAAATAACAATTCTACAGAGCAACACGAACGCATAAACTGCAACTAAACAAAACAAAAGGATGTAGCTAACAAACGAAGCACTTAGCAAAAGACAGTGGACACAAAAAATACACACAATTCTAAATACTAAAAAATTTAAGAACAGCAAAATTAATCTATAGTTCCAGCATGGAGGACAGCAACCAGCGGAGCAAGTGTGGAGTTAGTGACTGAAAAGGGACAAGAGGGTTTCTGAGCTGTTGGTGACGTTCTTCCTCCTCAGGATGCTAATTACACTCTGTACCTTCTTTGTGAAAAGTCACCAAGCTACTCATTTTTGTGTACTTTTCTGTATATATGTTATACCTTAATAAAATATTTACTTTAAAAGCAAGACATTGAATGTTACAAGTGAGAGGTTAAAATAAGGACCAGCAGTTAGCGTAATGGCTATGTCGCTGAACTCCCATGTAGTCAACCATGGTTCGAGTCTCAAACCTGGTGGCTTAAACTCACACCAGGCACGTGAGCGTGCGTGCCCAAGACCCCGAGAGGAGAATGGAGAAAGGATTGCAGCGTGGCCATCCCTCCCGGGGGGTGATTTCTCACTTTCTGTCTCTCCGTCTTTGTGGTGAATGCACAGAACTTATAAAAAAAAAAAAAAAAAAAAAAAAAAAAAAAAAAACTTCTTCAAAAAAAGAAAAAAAAAGTATCATTCTACAGTCTTAATTAAAGGTTACCTGTATTTGAGAGTCGAGTAATGGCACCCCAAGACTTCCGAATGCTTTCTGAACAATTTGGGCCACTTTTACTAAAATCTGTAGTTACGATCTTCATAAATACACCACAAGGTACCAAATCCTCAAACTGCCAGATAGGGGCAGAAGCTGCAAGAGCTCTGAATGGTAAGAAAAAAGAAAAAAATTTATAACTCTTTTTATATATGTTTTAAAATCGAAACTAAAATTCAACAAATATGGTGAGAAAAAATAGCACAGCTGTTAATGATAAAAATGGAAATTTCTGTACAATAGAATGGAATGTTTTACCCAAAACGAATCTCTACATTTGCTTCAGTAATCATTAAGAAGTGCTGACATCCAATATAAATGCACGTACCCAACTACCATATGAGGATATTTCATCCTGAACCAGGCTGCAAGCATGCCACCATAAGAGCCCCCTAGGGCAATGACAGGTTGATTTTCAGCTCCTGGGATTGTTCTTTTCAAGTGTTTGATTAACTCTGCAAAATCGGCCAGAGCTTGTTCTGATGTCAGAAAATTCAAGTGTCTGAAATCCTAAAGAAAAATAACAAAGAACACGGGTATAAATGTTCACATAATAGCAGCTTAAGCATAGGATAGATCCAGAAAAGACCCAGAGTCAGATAAGCTTTTCTCCAAATAGAATTTCTTGGTGATTGAGCTAAAACTCTCAATCAAAGCAATAGCCATGCTGATTTAAACAACTCATGAAAAAGTCCTTTTAAGTTTGTTCAAGAACATAATGTATTTTGCATTCAAGTATCATTTTTATTAAATACTATTTAACAAAGACCTTGTGGAGGCTGTAGAAACAAATGGTTAAATAAGATTTAATAGCAAATATGATGAAATATAAAGTAAGTTTAACAGACAACTGTTACAACTTTTTATTTCAAATCTAGACACATTTAAAATGTCTACCACTTACGCAAAAACAAACTAAATCCTGTGGACAACTAAGATATGAATCATCGGTATGAATAGAACTAATTTTTCCTCATCGGAAAGACTATAAACAGGTCCAGCCTTGGTGGCACAGGCAGTAACATACTGATTCTCAGTGCTGGAAGCCTTGTGGCCAACTGCAGTTTCAGATCCCAAGTTGCCCTGAAATATACCAGGTATGCCTATGATCTTGATTAACTGGAGGGCTGGGGAAAGGAGGTTGCAGCATGGTAAGACTGTCAAGGGTACCTCTGTGTGTTCATCTCTCTCACACACTGTCTCATGAAAGAAAAAAAAGAAAAAAAAAAAAAGATGCTGTGGTGGAGTACATAAGGCAGCCAGACCCTACATGGCTGACTGTGTGCTTCGAGGCAGCTTAAGAAGCACATTAAGTATGTGTATATATACCCCAAATCCTGAAAGGAGACAGAAATGGAGAAGGGACTGAGGTGTGACCAAGACCATGGAGGCTGCTTTCCTACTTTCCCTCTCTGGCCAGTGCAGGTGTCCTCTAGCAAATTAAATGAAAGAAAAGAATAAATGAAAGAAAAGAAGAATAGAGTGGAAAAGAGAAGAGGAAATACAAGAAGCTCTTAAAAACAGAAAGATTATACATGATGTCAGCCATACCAATGACCATAACAAATTAACCTGCCTATTGCAAACAACTATAAACTTGAAGAGGAAAAAAAAAAACAACAAACAAAAAAAACCAACAACTATTTTCAGGTATCAGAAAACTGAGAACATAGATACTGATCCCTGAAAGGGACAAAACTTATAAAGTGAATTGCTTGAGCAGCTCGCTCTGTGTGTGGGGACAATTTCTTACAGTACAGAAGGTGAGGCTCAGAGTCTTGCTGAGCTGAGGAAGCCAATAAGGTATTTTCAAAAGAAGTCTTGACACTCTTTTGAAATGAGAAGCCTAATTCCCACTCCATTTGAACTTGGGCTGGACTTAGTGACTTGGTTCTACTGAACAGAATGTGGCAGAAGGGGTAATATGTGACTACCAAGGTTAGGTCACAGAAAAGCACTGCAGCTTCCACCTTGCTCTCGTCTCGGGCCAACATGGAAGGATGTTAGCTGCTATAACATGAAGCCATTCATGTGGGCCGCAGGGAAGCCCAGGAGGAGACAAGTTGAAGCCTCTTGCCAACATCCAACTCTAGTTTATCACTGGTGTGAGGTAGCTTCTGGAGTGGAGAGGATCTACCAGACAAGCCTTCAGATGACGGTAGCACCAGCTGGCATCATAACCTCATGAGACCCTCAAGAGCAGAACTGCCCAGCTAAGCTACTCCTAATCATCACCCACAGACACTGTGGTGCCTTACTTACTGCTACTTAAGCCACTAGGGTTTGAGGTAATTTATTATTCAGCAACAGTGACTCATACAATGCCACATACCTACATTAGGACATCCTGTAAAACCTTCATGCTTTCTTCTCCCCACTCTGACTTCCTCCATCACTTAGCATATTGCTGAGTCGCCTAATTCCCATCTGTCCCCTTTCCTACTCCTTTAGCCTTTCCTCTCACGGAGAATGTCTGCTCTCTAATTTACCCCTCCCTCCCTGTCACTATTCTATACTTCCAGTTTTTATGGCGCTGTGTACAGGTGAGTACAACTTGTTCCCCAATCTTCATGTAGTATCTGTAACATCCCTCATGTTACTCAAAAATTCTGTGAGCATGCTAAGCGAAAGAGGGGTATCAGAAAGAGTACTTAGCTTTCTGTTGGTAACAGAGGATCAATCACGGGGACCTGGGGGAGGGAGTTACACTTCTATCGGCAATAAGCTGACTGCTTCATCTATTTACAGGTTTTAGGACCTGTAAACCCCCTAATCAGCTATCTGAGCAATATCCTCTGCATGTAGCATAAGGTGTAAATACAAAGAATAGTTCCCATATAGCCAACAAATATCGGCCAATTATTCTGCTTTCTAGTTACACAAGGGCATTTTTATGTTCATTCATTTAATTTACGATAAAAGATAATAGAACCTCTGAAAATAAAAATACCAAGTCCTTTCAAAATACACGACCTAGAAAATGACTGACCCCAAGTTCTAGCTGAGAGATCCCCCAGATCATACGTGTACACTGGCAGTATGTCATATTATCTTGGGTTGTGCACAATGGTTTGTTTTGTTTTTTAAAATTTTGCCAGAGAGTGTATGTGCTAGCCAGAGAAAGAGAGGAAGTAAGAAAGACACTCCAACCCCATGGGGGATGGCAATGATGCAATCCTTTCTTCCCCATTTCTCCCTCCTTTTGGGATTTCAGGCCACACAGGCACACACCCCCAGGATGTTTTTCAAGCTCCTGGTGAGGAGTGACTCCTGGGTCCAGGACTCGAACCTCACTGTTGGTCATGTGGAATCCAGCTACTTAACTACCACGCCACCAGCTGGCTCTGTGCACAAATATTTTTAATGAAATGTTTATTGTTTTATTTTAATGTAACTTGGAAAAAATTAGTTAGTACATTAAGTCCTTGGTTAAGGTAATACTAAATTCAAAAAGTTAGTTACTGACAGAAAAATATTAATTCAACAGTAATATAGGTGACAAATTCATATAGCCAGAATCGCAAGGAAAAATAGATGAGTAACTCTGGTGAGGAAAAGTTCCTGGGTTTATTAAATGTAGAGTCTGTAGCTGAGGCCAGAGCATCTTGTAAGAACTGGGAAAGTCAGAAGGGAATTCTAGAGGCCAGTGGCATCACTGAATCATGGAGCTTATCTGTCTGTACCTTACTGATTACATTTTATAGAAAATCACCTATTAGACAAATATTTATGAGCGCATAAGCTCTTCTTATCCTGCATTGTAGCCCTAAAATCAATATTAAGTTTAAAATGTATTGTTTTACAGTGGCAGGTCCAATCATTGGACATAGTTTATACAGCAGAACTGTTTACTGACATTTTGAAACAATGACAAGCTCTCTGCACTATCTCTGCAGCCCTAGAGTAAAGATTTGCTTGGCTGAGGTTAGCCTCAGTACACCATTAAAGATCAGGCAGTTCAAGGTAAAGTTTTCTCACAGTGGGACATATAATTAGGAAATGTTCTAAACTTAGGGACCAGCAGTTAGCATAATGGCTATCTTGCTGGACTCTCATGTAGTCAACTACAGTTTGAGTCCCAGACTAGGTGGCTTAAAATCACACTGGGTGCATGTGCACGCATTCTCAAGATCCCGAGGGGAGAATGAAGGAGAAGGGATTGCGACATGGCCATCCATGCTGGAGGGTGATTTCTCTCTTTCTGTCTGTCTGTCTGGCAAGCGCAAGTGCCCTATAGCAAAAACCTCTCCAAAAAAAAAAAAAAAAAAAAAAAAACCAAAAAAAAGGTTTTAAAATTAAAAAAAAAAAAAAAAAAAAAGTACAAAGTATACTTACCTTGAATGAGTTGTTACCAAAGGGTAGGGACTCTCCATAGTACCGATGTTCAGCAAACACCAACATAGCTTTCAGTTCCTCAGCCACGTCCCACATGAATCCCTAGGAATTATTTACAAATTCACAGAATAAAGTCAGGATGAGGAAAAACGCCACAGAACATTTTGGTGAACCATATGAAAAAGATTTTAAACCAGAGTAAAAAGAGCTGTCTGAAAAGTTGTGCAATTTATGTTTGTTCTGCAAAAAAAGATGTAATTGCGGTTTCATTGTTGCACATCAATGTTACAATGTATTAGAGTGAAATAAACCCAGGTTACTACTCATCCACTAGTCATTCCAGCTCCCTATCCTGACACTAGCCCAGAACCAACATGATGCCCAAAATAGTGTTTGGGTTGCCCTGTGTGCCAAATATTCTAGGAAACATTTCAGGACATCTGTTAGCTGCCTATTCACAGGCATTTAGAACATAAAAGAAGAAACAGTACAAATAAGCATACCAAACTCGCTCGAGGTTCTATATTACTCTTATTTGAAAACAAATATAATAGTAACTAACAATAGCTAACAATAATCAAGTACTTATAATGTGTCAAGCACTGTTCTTAAAAGTATGATTATCTCCATTCTACAGACATGGACAGCGAGGAACAAGAGTTTAAATGACCTTCCATATCCACACAGCCAGGAAATGGCTCCACAATTCAAACATGAGCTGTCTGCTGCAAAGCACAACCATCGAGTGCTATGAGATCGTCTTTCTTCAACACCTAAGACTACTCGTTAATCAATGGCTGCCTTTCTGCACTAACCTTAGCTGTGGCATCAGAGTCCTCCTCTACAAAGCATTCTAGGCAGCTAATGTCAGTCAGTTAGATTTAGATGGAGCACAGATTAAAACACATTCCCAGGGTACACTGTTGCTCTTTAATGAGTTGCTACTCCCTAACAGGGGCTAACAACCTCTAAATGTTACTGTTTACTTTGGTCAATAAATGAACAACTGGAAGAGCTGTATGCCTGTGAGGATGACTAAGCCTCGTATCTCTGGTGGTTTAATAATCTTTGCTTTTTCTTTTAAGGACCTATTCATTCCCTGCCATTTGTCTAACAATCCTGCAATACCAGTTCAAGCAGGCTCTCCTTTGCCTGTCCCAGCCTGGCAGTGTGACTTGCTCCCTCCTCTCAACACCACTGCCCTACGTATGGATCTCTATTAAATTTTGTTTTTAATTTTTTTTAGAGGTTTTTGCTATAGGGCGCGTGCACTTGCCAGACAGACAGAGACAGAGAGAAACAGAGAGACAGAAAGCGAGAAATCACCCCCCATGGGGGATGGCCACACTGCAATCCCATCTCCTCCATTCTCCTCTCGGGATCTTGGGCACGCACACACACACGTGCCCGGCGTGAGTTTTAAGCCACCGGGTCCAGGATACGAACCGCGGGAGACTACGTGGGAGTCCAGCGACATAGCCATTACGCTAACTGCGGTCCCGGGTCTCTGTTAAATTCTATTAAATGCTGCAATACTTGCTTACATAGATGCCTTACCCTCCCAGGCTGTGAGCTTCTTCCATTTTTTTTTTCTTTACTTTTATTTAAGGTTTTTGCCATAGGGTGTGCATACTCTCCAGGGAGACAGAGAGAGGAAAAGTAAGAAATCACTCTCCTGGGATTTTGAGCACACACGCATGCACACGTGCTCAGTGTAATTTTCAAGCCACTGAGTCAAGGACTTGAACCGTGGTCAAACATGTGAGAGTTCAGATGCCTTAACCACCACATCACCTCCTGGCCTGACTGTGAGTTTCTTAAGGGAAAGGGCCATCCCTCAAAATACCCAGATTTCTGTGGGGTGACCTCAGTCTTTTTTTTTTTTTTAAAGAATTATTTATTTAATTTTATTTATTCATGTATTTCTTAAGAATTATTTATTTAATTTTGTTTATTCCTTCATTTATTTTAATTTGCCAGAGAGAGACACACAGAGAGAGAGAGAAAGAGAGAGGGAAAGTGAGAAAGCAAGTCAACAGATATGGGACTTGAACTGTGGCTGCCCATGTGGGAGCGTCCAGTGCCTTAACCACCATACCACCTGCTGGTCCCATTATTCACTCATCTATTTTAACTTGACCAGAGACAGACAGAGAGAGAGAGAGAGAGAGAGAGAGAGAGAGAGAAAGCAAGCTACCAAATCTAGGACTCAAACTGTGGTCAGCCATGTGGGAGTGTCCTGCGCCTTAACCACCACGCCACCTGCTAGTCCCCTGACCTCAGTCTTTGAGATGAAACAATTTAACTGAACTGATTCACAATGTAAAAAGTAAATAGTTGGCTTCATCTATTTCAGAATATTTTATTTTTCAAAAGAAGTCCATGTAATACATAAACATTTATTAACATAATCTGTCTGCAATTTCCTTAGTCTTAGGTCTTCACAAAAACTCTATTCACTGGATATGATTCTACCCATTTAGCAGATGAGAAATGGAGGCACAGAATAAGAAACTTGTCCAGAGATAGTAAAGTAACAAAACCTAAATTAGAGGTCTGGTTCAAGTATTTACTCTCGACCACTTCACTATGTATGCTACTCTGTCTCTGGATAAATGAATGTCCAGAAGGGAATGTGCAATTGGAACATTTTAGTATGCAAAGGAACGTGTGCAGGGCTTGGGGAGTACAAGAACCTGTTCTTATAGCCTTTGCCTCTAGTCAGTTCTTGCAACTCTTTCTACTGAGTAATGTCCCCTTCTATCACTTCTGAGGACGGAAATGCAGTTCTGCCACAGTGCCTGTCACAGCAGTGGGGTCTGGTGGGAGCAGAAACAGCTACCTGCCTGTAACAAAGAACAGGAGTTGCAAAATCACTGGACTGAAGTTGTCCTATGGCCTTGGCATAAAAGGGAAGCCACACAAGGAAAAGCGACAAGGCAGCCTCTGTTGTTCCACAGAATAACAGAGCAGGAATCTGATGGAAAGGAAGCCCTGATTTCATCTGTCACTTATCTAAAAGAAACCGACTAATTTACATTCCCACCAACAGTGTGAGTGTTCCCCTTTCTCTGCATCCTCGCCAGCATTTGTTATTTCTTGTCTTTTCGATAATAGCCATTCTAATTGGGGTGAGATTATATGTATCTCATTGTGGTTTTGATTTGCATTTCCCTAATGGTTGTTGATGTTAAGCATCTTTTCCTAAGTTTGTTGGCCATCTGTATGTCTTCTTTTGAGAACTGTCTATTCAGGTCAGTTGTCTATGTTTTAAATCAGGTTGTTTTTTCGCTATGAAGTTCCTTATATATTCTGGTTATTAATCCTCTGTAAATTAGTATAGCCTTATTGGAAACAGTATGGAGGTTCCTCAAAAAAACTAAAAATAGGACTGCGTTATGATCCAACAATCTCACTAGCAAGTATATAAACAAAGGAAAAGAAATCAGTACACCACAAAAATATCTGCACCCCAATGCTTACTGCAGCACTATTCACAAGATACAGAGTCAATCTAAGTGTCTATTAACAAACACATGGATAAAGAAAATATGACGTATCAACATACATACAATGGAATACTATTGGGTCGTCACAACAATCATGACACATTTTCGCACAGAGAAAACTATGTCATGACTTTTCCAATAACCCAATACTAAGCTATTAAAAAGAATGAAATCTTGTCCTTTGAGATAAAATGCCCAACCATGGGGGACATTATATTAAGTGAAATAAGCCAAGCACAGAAAGAGAAATAACACCTATCCTCCATCATATGTGGGCAATTTTTTTAAAGAATTGTTTTTTATTTAACTTTATTTGTTCATTTATCTCAGTTTGATCAGGGAGGGACAGAGTGAGAGAGAGAGAGAAAAAGTGAGAAATCAAGCTGCCTGGTCCAGGACTTGAACCGCGGTTAGACACGTAGGAGTCCAGCACCCTTAACCACTACGCCACCTGCCGGCCCCATTTTAAATGACCTCACAGAAGTACAGAGTTGGAAAATAACTATTACCTACTGGGAAAAATGGGGCAGGGAGAAAGAGCCAGTGTGACTGTGCCTCATGGGGTGGTGGTGGAGGGTGCCTTCTCCCTACAACTCACTCCATCTCTCTCTCGTAAGTATCCTGTGGCAATTTGAAAATAAATATATGAACAATATAAGATTTAAATTAAAAAAAAAAACTTTTAAAATTCAATTTTCCAATCCAGCAGGTGGCATGAGGTTGAAGGCGCTGGACTCTCATACAACTGACTCTGTGGTTCAAGTCAAGGACTTGGCTTGAAAAAACACACTGGGTGCATGTGCATGTGTGCCCCAAATGCCAAGAGAATAGAGGAAAGGGATTGTGGCACGGCCGTCCTCCCTGGGGAATGATTTCTCACTTTCCTTTACTACGTATCTCTGTAAGTACACACTCCCTATGACAAAAAATTTTTAAAAAAAGAACAAGAAAAGAAAATACAATTTCCCCAAATTAGTATTTTATTGCTACCATTTTTAATTCTTTAAGGCTGCACATGCATGCTTCTTAGATATCTGTTTATTTTCCTATAAATTGCCTATATATGTCCTTTTGCTTTTTTCTATTTTTAGTGAGTTCATCTTGTTATCATTTAAGAAACTTTACAATTAAGAACAGTGTTGCTTCTTCATATATATTGCAAAATGCTTTTTCCAATTTATTATAATAAAAGACAAACTAAACAATGGAATTTTACAAAGTCACACATACCGTATTATTACAAAACCAGATAATGTCCCCTTCATTACCAGTGTAGAAAAGTATTGTTCCTCCATCTTTCCTCCAATGTTTGTCAGCTATTAGGTACCGCTGTTTAAAAGTTTTCTCAGTATTAAACCCAAAATGATCAACCTGTGAGAAAAACAAAACAGATAAGACATATTTCGAAAGAAAGTAATTATATAGAGATCAACAAAAAAAAACAATTTATTCTTCCATGAAAATGAACCTATACTGCAAAAACAAACAAAAGAAACTTTAAACTTCATTTGATTTTACATCAATAGTAAAACTGACACTGTCACTTTGAAATTATTTTCTTTATATTAAGATATAGCAGTGTTGGGACCAGCAGTTGGTGTAATGGCTGTCGCTGGACTCCCACGTAGTCGACCATGGTTTGAGTCCTGGACCTGGTGGCTTAAACTCACTCTGGGCACGCATGCACGTGTGTGTGTGTGTGCGTGTGCCCAAGATCCTGAGAGGAGAATGGAGGAAAAGGGACTGTGGCGTGGCCATCCTCCTTGGGGGGTGATTTCTTGCTTTCTGTCTGTCTTTCTTTCTCTTTCAGGAGAGCGCATGTGCACTATAGCAAAAACCTCTCAAAAAAAAAAAAAAAGATAAAGCAGTGTTTGCCATCTGTGGTTGAGCTTTTAAAACTACAGTTATAAAATCAAGTAGATACTAAAAAACACAATAATGCTAAAACTGAATTTGGGGAACCGGCAGGTGACTTGGTGGTTAAGGTGCTGGACACTTGCACAAGGCCCACCATGGTTTGAGTCCTGGACCTAGTGGCTTTCTTACACGCATGCTCGCTCACTCTCTCACTTTCTGGTCAAATTAAAAAAAAAAAAAAGTATAAATAAAATTAAGTAAATAATTATTTTAAAAAAAAAAGGAAAGAAAAAATTGAATTGGAAGGGCTAGCAGATGGCATAGTGGGTGAGGTGCTGGGCTTCCCACATGGCCAGTAACAATTCAAGTCCCAAATTTGCAGACTTGCTTTCTCACTTTCCCTGACTCCTCCTCTCTTTCTCGGGTGAACTCATGTGACATACAATAGTAATAATAAATTAAATTAAATACATCATTTTTAAAAACTGAATTGAAAATAGAAATATTAACTCATTTCTTTTTCTCATTTGTTTTTAAATTAATTGATTTTGGGGACCAGCAAATGTCATAATAATTATGTCACTGTACTCCCACATAGTTGACCAAGGTTCAAGTCCCAAACCCCGCAACTTAAAACCCACACTGGGTATATCTGCATGCATGTACAAAATCCAGAGAGGAGAATGGGAGAGAAGGAATTGTGGCATGGCCGTCCCCTGCCCCAGGGGTGGGGGGTGGGGGTGGGGGGGTGATGATTTCTCACCTTCTGTCTTTCTCATTTTTATGCCCTCTAGCAAAAAAAATCTCTCTTAAAAAAATAATTGGTTTTGGGATCAGCAGTTAGCTTAATGGCTATGTCACTGGACTCCCATGTAGTCAACCGTGGTTCGTGTCCTGGACCTGGTGGCTTAAACTCACGCCAGACGCGTTTGTGTGCGTGCCCAAGATCCCGAGAGAATGGAGGAGAAGGGATTGCGGCATGACCATCCCCCCTGGGGGGTGATTTCTCGCTTTCTGTCTCTCTGTCTCTCTCTGTCTGGCGAGTGCACGCGCCCTATAGCAAAAACCTCTCTAAAAAAAGGAAAAAATAAATAAAAATAATCGGTTTTTAATTTCAAAATTTATTAAAAACTGTATTATTTGCTGTATGCAGCATGATGCTTTAAAATATGTACACATTGTGAAATAGCTAAATTGAATTGCTTAACAGAAGCATACCTCACATATCATTTTTTGTAGTGAATTACTGTTAGTAATTTCCAAGTATAAATACATCCCATTATTTTTTAAAATACAGATTAGATACCTTTTATTATCTAAGTTTTCATGATCTGAACTTTCAATATCAAAATTTGAGAAATAAAGTGACTACTGAACTTTAAGAAATAACCAGATACAGTATATGATCCCAAATTAGAGATTATTAAGTTTGAACAAATGGAATATAAATTGTAATTTAGGGATCACTGAGCCAATGTTAACATGAACTAGATATTATATAATACTGAAGACATTGATTTTGTTAGGAGTGATCATATTATTTTGACTATCTAAAGAGGGAAGGAAGAAGGAAAGGAATTTGAAAAAACAAACAAAAAAAGACAGGCCAGGGGCCGGCAGGTAGTGTGGTGGTTAAGGCGCTGGACTCCCATTTGGCCTTCCAGGGATTGAGTCCTGGACCTGGCAGCTTGCTTGCTTGCTTGCTTGTTTTCTGTATGTGTGTGTGTGTGTGTGTGTGTGTGTGGGGGGGGTTGTGTGTTTCTCTGGTGAATGCACATTTCCTATAGCAAATCTTAAAAAATAATAATAATGATAAATAAGATTAAATAAATAATTAAGGCCAGCTGTGTGATTTGAGTCCCAGACCTCGCACCTTAAGAAACACATCATGTGCATGTGCCTGTGTGCCCAAGATCCCCAAAGGAAAAATGGAAGAGGCGTGATTGTGGTGTTAACATCCACCAAGCAGGGTGCTTCTCATCCTCCCACCCCCTCCTCTTCAAAGAGTACATGCACCCTATTGAAATTAAAATAAATAAATAAGAATGGCAAATATAATAATTTTAAGTTGGATTTTAAACAGTTTTTGAGTTCATTTTTTGAGTTTTTTATTTTGAGACTTTTTAAAAAACTTAACATTTAAAACACAATGATCAAATCCTTTAACATGGTATGACTACCTAATTTACAGAGTTACAGAGAACAGAGCTCTACTAGGCTTTTAAGACCATGGGAACTGAAGCCCTCATTGCCTGGAAGGACAGGAATGAGAATGCAGCATTTGGTTTGGCTGTTTCAGCACTTCAGCTTCCTTGGAGCAGGGGTTGACTTTGACCCCATCAGACTCTGCAAGACTTCCCTGGGTCATTCTAAAACAATGAGACTCCTTGGACCCAGCTCCATCAAGACATACACACACACACACACACACACACACACACACACACACACACACACACACACACACACACACACACACACACACACACACACACACACACACACACACACACACACACACACACACACACTCATAGACACTTCACATTCATACCACAGGCCCCAAATGCAAGTGTCTCGAAACTACACCTAACTGTATACTTCTTGGAGTCATATCTATGATCACCACCATAAGTAGCCCTTCCCATCATGAAGGATATCAACTTCTGGCTACTTAACTGCAGACAGTTTTCAATATGTAATGGCCAGGCACCCTAGGGGCAGTGTGCCCTCTGCTGGTGAGAATTGGACTACATGCCTCTTCCAGTTCTGGGCTCCTGAATAGCGAGGAGGGTTTTTATAAATCACAACATGAAAAAGCAATGAGGACCTTTGAAATCATTTGATCCGTGTTGCTTGACTGAAGAAACTGGGCTCCAAGGGGTTAAGTGACTTGGCCAAGGTCATGAGTCAGAGGTTGAGCTAGAACTTTAAATTCTTAATCTTTGCAATTTGGTACACCGAAACAGCTGAAATCAGTAACAGTGCTGCAAAAGAAACGTGAGCATGAGCTCAAAAAAGAGACATGCCTCTATTCAGGCATAGCGGTTCTTCCTAGAATATGCTACGAGATATTTCAAAAGATGCTTTCCCCCTTCACCATGTGGAGGAGACATGGATCTGTGAGAATGAATAGGCAAGAAGGAACAAAGACATCCTTTATGTAAAGTTTATTGTGACAAAATAATTATTTGGACTTTGAAACTGCTGGAGAAGTTCTCACTGAGAAAAAAAATGTAATAATATGATATCTGTCAGACAGTTTTGGTGGCAGTTGGAGCAGAGGGGTGGGAGGGGTGAGGGAGGGAGAGGACGACACAGAGCACCTACTGTGTGCCTGGCACTGTGCCCCTGCCTTTCTCAGATCACCTCACCATCTTCCAGTCACCCTTGGGGGGCACTTTCTCATATTAGACTTATGATAAGGGTGCTGACACTCAGGGAAGTCAGACAGCTTGTCCAAGGTGACATAACTAGAAAGTAGAAATCAAATGTATAATAATTCTTTTCGTGTGATTTAAAATCAACCCAATCCTGCCTCCAATAAAACCCAGATCTGTCCACCCTTTCCATTTTAATGGCTTGTGGTGGATAGGGCTAGGGTTAGGGTTAGACAAGGCTGGGCTGACTACAAACATCAATCTTCGGCAGTGGACACTAGGGTATCTTTGGCCTAAATTTGCAAAATGAAGGACACACCTCTCAGTCATTTATTAAGTTATACTACAGAATATGTGGGATGGTTGTCTTTTATTGACTCAATAAACATTACTATACCATTATTTTAACTCATTTAATTGAATGACTGGTAAAAACAAAATCACATTGGCTTTCTCAGCCTGTTTTAGTATTAGAAAACACAGTATATATTTAGTTTTAGTTGAGCACTTAACTATATAAAATTAGCTACCTAAAAGTTTACTAAATGTATGAAAAGTATATTCAGAAATACAGGGAAAAAATGGATTCACACCTCCAGTAAGTTACAGCACCTAGAAAGGGAGGTTCACTGATATCCACCTCTAAACTAGAGATGCTGGAATGAAATAAGACCTTCTTTCTCTCCACTTCATATGTGTATCCTGTGTTAATTTGGGAATTGAAGAATTACATTCTGTTAGAACTCTAAAATAAAAATTGACAACTTTTCTGGGCAAGCTTGATCTCCCCTTGTAGCCTTCATGTTAGATGGCTGTAAGTTTTGGGCCCAGCGGCGGGGTGGTAGTTGAGGTGTACTCCCACAGGGCAGACCACAGTTCGAGCCTCAGACACCTGGGGGCTTGCTTTCTTATTTTATTTTATTTTTTTTTTGGAGACATTTTCGCTATAGGGCGCGTGCGCTCGCCAGACAGACAGAGACATAGAGACAGAAAGCGAGAAATCACCCCCCAGGGGGGATGGTCACGCCGCAATCCCTTCTCCTCCATTCTCCTCTCGGGATCTTGGGCACGCACGCACACGCGCCCGGCGTGAGTTTTAAGCCACCGGGTCCGATACGCGAACCAGGTCGACTA